AGGCCCAGTGTCTCCTCAACCTGGGAAACTTGAAGTGGTGGGCACTTCAGCCCCTTCGCCCCGGTCATCTCAGCCCGCCCCACGCGGTCCAGCAGAAGGGGCAGATTGCAGACCCCACCCGTCAAGGCATTTCGATTGGTGGGGTCAAGGCAGAGAGCCTTTTCTGCTGTAGCGCCCGCCCTATGGAACATCTTGCTGCCTGAGGTGCGGTGTGCCCTCTCCCTCCTGGCCTTCAGGGAAGAGATCAAATACTGGCTCTGCCAGAAGGCTTCGGGGCCAGAGGGGGGCCCGCACCTATGGAGATGGCTGGTGGGGTGAGGGGTTGTCACCCCCCAGCATCTTACAGGTTTTTTAGGGCCAAATTACAGGAGGTTTTTAGGCCATTTTTATATATGTTTTTAACTATTTATAGATTATGTCTATGGCTGGAGAGTCCTGTGTTTTTTATTATTATTGTGAGTCACCCATTGGGGGAGATGGGCGGCATACAAATGTGAAAAATACATAAATAAATAAATAAATAAACTCCCAGAATTTCCCAGCCAGCATAGCCGGCTGGGGGATTCTGGGAGTTGAAGTCCACACATCTTCAAGTTCTCAAGGTTGAGAAGCACCGCAATAGACCGCTCATCCAAAGTCAACTGAATTTGCCAAATGCTGATCTTAGTAGTCCACTTCTCTAACACAGCAGTCTCTTATCTACTGAAAACAGCTTCAGTGGCTATGGAAGAACAGCAGCTCAGCTTAGGAAAAATAAGCATGCAAAATACACCACAGTCCTTCACACACACACACACACAAGTTCACAGCTGTCATGTTGTTGATGGAAGCATAGTGGATGGTTCTAGATCCAATTATAGGCCTAATTATATATAAATATTTGTTGGGCTTTGTTATTTTTGTGACTTTTTATTTTTGTTTTTACTCTTTAACTGTGAGTAGCTGAATGTGTAGATTACATACGTACTTTTGCCTGTATTCTCTCTTGCCTTTTTTTTTTAATCTGTAAGCTGATCATTAGCTTTGGCTTTCCTGCATTCATTTGCCTATAAATAGAACTTTATCTGGTCTATTTTTGTTTCCCTCTTTTTCATTGCTATTCCGCTGTGGAATTCTTCAGGTAGAGATACCCAAATTCACAATCAACCATTTGCCTGTAGTTCAGCTTTCCCTTCCTTTCCTTTCCTTTCCTTTCCTTTCCTTTCCTTTCCTTTCCTTTCCTTTCCTTTCCTTTCCTTTCCTTTCCTT